CAATTAGGCCCATAGACAATAAACTAGCACTAATTTCTATTTAGTTAAAGGTGCAATAGCGCAATTATTATGTTACTTGACGTCCACTGTATTGCCTACCGTAGTCCAATAATAATAAATTCATTAGTTTTTTCCCCTTAAGAAAGTACATTCTTATAAAGCAAATTAGCAGCTTAGCAACATAAACTCCACCCTTCATAGATGAAATGCGTGCTCAGAGGTCGTTATCGGCCCTGATCGAGAGGCAGATGTGTTGTTTCACATCTATGCATGTATACTTAGGCTAACAGACAGACTAAAGTCAGGGGTTAAACAGCCCACTAGTAAATCGTGCAGATCGCCTGAAACGATTAATTAGTCAAGTGTTTGCTGGCATGTCATTAAATGAGAGGAAAAAAGCACAAAGATGCCTTTGCACGGGAATAATGCTGCTTGTTGAGTAAATTATTCCTCGAATGTAAGAAAATAAATATTAACGGCTTATTACGCAAATCTCTTAATGAAAAAAGAGAATATGAAAGTTCCAGCTACATATGTACATGTCAATTATTGTTTGCGATTACAAAGCTATAATGTTAGTTAAGGATTTATGAAATAGATTTGTTGCTTAGTACTTAAACGCACAAAAGGTTCATAAAGAAGATGAATTAGCTTTTCTGCACCTTTTATTTCTCAAAAGTGCACAGAATTTGAAAAATCAGTCTATAGTATACAAATATAAAAATAGCTCAAACTGGAAGTGAATATGCGCAAATGCACAAAAGTCGTATTTTTAAGTTTTATTTGCTACTATGAATTTTTTTTATCATCCTTCTGTCGAGTAGAGTCACAAGACAACCGAGATTGATAAATTGAGAATTTGATAAATAGTCCGCAAATACACATTTTTGAGCGTGACCATTACAATCATTTCGTATGGTTCTAGAGCATCCTTCACATGCCGTATCTGCTTGAATACCCCAGATACTGTAGCTTTACACCTCCCAATACAAAAACTATCAGTTTAAACATTTGAGCACTAGGCTAACCACTTCCATTTAACAAAGCTTTTCTAACGCGCTCAAATACTTCCTGTAGTTGCTGCCGAGCTTTAAAAATAACTTTTTGTCTGAATTGCGATAGTGCAATTACACTTGACAGCTATTGCTGCAGTGCTGTGGTAATTTTCCCAAAATGCACTCAGTAGGTGTTACTGCATAATAAAAATCTACTAAATTTAATTAATCAAGAGTACCAGCCTATTATCCCTTGATCAGTCGCATTAGAAACATGATGTCGTCAAAATCAACCAGTTTCAATGAAACGCTGATAAAAACAATGCAAACTAATCTTGAAATATGAAAAAAGCAGTACATTCCATTGAAAGAGTATAGTACACTTATTATTTATGTTAAAAGACTTGTCTACAATAACATTTAGAGCAAAAGTCTTCAAAGGGGGTAAAAAGAGGCGTGGTGGGACACGCGACTCCTCTTTTTCAAATTTTTTTCTTGAGCTCCCACCTTACTCCCGGAATTTTCTGCAATTGTCATAAAAGAAGAAGCAAGAAATTGAGATACACTAAATCAATCTCCATTTACATCAAAAGACTTTTTGTTTGTATTAGTGAGCCGACAAATAATCAATAATTG